ATCACATACCCTACCCTTGGGAAATGTAGTCTCACACCACTTTCCAACTGTAATACCGCCTCTTTCCCATCAAGTCCAACCAATTTCCCCTTTTGTGGATGTGCACCAGGATCCGCATCAGCGCTTTCCACCGTGATCTCAGTCCCCTCGGCAATACCAATCGGGTCCCTCGAATCCACACCCATCTCTTGCGCCGAGTAATCCGCATTCTCAATCGTCTTGTGCACCTGTTCTGGGCTCATCTCCGTGAACTCTGCCTTTGGCCACTTGGAGATCCACTCGTATATCCGTGGAAAATCACGCTGACTGAAGCCGGGTTCGTTAATCAGACCTTGCACTTTGAGCGCAAAGTCCACCGCGAATCCAGCGTGTAGATCAGCAAGCGTGAACGAGTCACCACCTATGTACTGTCCCGGACCGGCGAGGAATTCAGTCTCGATGATGTGAAACTTGGCTCGAACTTCCGCCAACCCACTTGGTCTTAGCGAGGCATAATCCGGATGCTTGAGTATCTGGAAGATGGTGATGCGGTCTTTGATGCCATCCGGTGTTAGCATCGCAGAAGGTATGACTTTGAGGACGCTTTCGAAAAGGGCGATGCCAAAAGCTTCGTATGCTTTGTCTGCAGGCGAGGTCGGGAGAATATCGAATTTTTCCTGGAGCGTGGATATGATGAGCGAGCTGTCGCAGTAGATGTCTTTCCCGATAGCAAGGAGCGGGACGCGGCGATACGTAATTGAGAGGCTTTCCAAAATCGGCCGAGGGATCACTATGGGCTGAAGGCTGCGCTGAAATGGCATATTGCTGGAAGCCAGTAAGGTTCTAGTCTTAAAGCCATAGGGTGACATGTCTTGGGAGTGTCAGTTTTTGTGTTTGTTCCTGAGAGATGCATTAGTAGAAACATACCATAGTCGAAAGCTATAATGGGAGAGCTGGCCATTGCGAAGTCCAAGAGTATGCGCGATCGATTGATGTTTTTGTGAGTAGACAATATCAAGGGGGAAGAGCAGTATATATTGACGGTGTATGTAGGTTACTCTTGAGGGGACTAGTAGCTAGTGTCCTATGCTCCGGCGCTATCCATCTGTGGGGCTCACTACCGAATTAGTCATCACAAGCATTACTTCTCGCAAGCATTACTTCTCGCAAGCATTTCTTCTCGCAAGCATTTCTTCTCGCAACACTGGCTCGGAGAATATCGCATTTGTCGCACACGACTCCTCATACACCAGCAAATCTACACTACAATCCTTATGCCTGCGCCGAAACCACCTCAATAGTAAAGCCTTGAGGATTTTTGTTGGCAGCATAATCCTCAACCATCTCTCTGTAATCCACCGGCCCACCACCCCAGTTTGCCTTCTTCCCTTGCTGAAGACGCTGCTCCTGGGTCTTCGGTTCTTTACTCTCAAGGGTTGCCATACCTTCGCCATTGAAGTAGCCAGGCGTGCATGAAGACATGGCGGCGAACCAGGCTGCTCTCTTCGCAACTTCGAGACCATACTCGTATTCCGCCTCCTTCAAAGGTTCGATAACGAATCGTTGGCCTTGACCACCAACCTGCTTTTGCGCCTTAGTCACGATGCTGGCAACGAGCGTAGCCTCGTTATCCATGCTTGACGTATGGTTCCACGAAGCCGACCCACCACGGAAGAAGCCGAAAAGGTTGGGAAAACCCGGCATCGTGACGCCCAAGAATGTTCCAGCATCGGGAGAATGCCAATACTCCTTCATTGTGAGCCCTTCGCGTCCCTTGATAATGACACGACTCTTCTCAGAGGGGTCCAGGTCTGGATCAACCGTAAATCCGGTAGCGAGAATAAGAGCATCGATCTCGTACTCGATGCCGTTGTATTGAATACCGTTTTCGGTGTATCGATCGAGACCTTTGCCGTCCGTGTCGATCAACGTAACGTTGGGCTTGTTGAAAGTCTGAAGATATTCATCATGGAAGGAAGGCCGCTTGCACCAGCTTCCGTACCATGCTTTCAGCTTTTCGGCAGTATGTTTGTCTTTGACAATCTTGTCGACGTGTTTTCGCAGGGACTCAGTGCGCGGAAGATCTAGCGTATAAAGGTCCTTGATATGCTCTTCGACCTCATTGGGAGCGACAAGCTTTGACTTGGAACCCAGAAAGCCAGATCCAGCCGGAGTCGCCGTCCAGCCATCGTTTACCGGATCAGGGCCATATCCCTTGCTGTTACTGACGTACGCATCGAATGCCAACCTCCGTTTCTTCTGCCATCCTTTCTCGCTCGTCATCTTGGCCCAATACTCTGGATCAGTCTCCGCTTGGTTGCGGGGCCCTACATGCGTCGCTGTCCTTTGCACAACATATACCTGGTCAGCCCACTTTGCCAGCTCAGGTACAATCTGGATAGCAGTTGCCCCAGTGCCAATAATCGCGACACGCTTTCCTCGGAGCTTTTCCAGATCAGGTTTCTCTTGAGTCCCGCCGGTATACTCATAGTCCCAGCGAGCGGAATGGAACACGTGTTTCTTTCGGTGAAGGTCTTCGAAACCCGGAAGGTCAGGCATCTTTGGTAGTATGAAAGGAGCACTGGACATCATGATAAACTCGGCGTATACAGTGAATGTCGTTGACGTCGATGGGTCCCCCACGGTACGTGTCATGGTGACGACCCAGAGTTTCTTTCTCTCGTCCCAGATCTGCGAATCGATGCTGGTGCAGAACTGACCTCGAATCCCAAAGTGGTCGGCGCTTCGCTCAATCTGGCGTCTGATCTCATGGCCGTACGAATATTTGTGGCGAGGTTGGTAACCTGTTTCTTCAAGGAAAGGAATGTAGCAATAGCCTTCGACATCGCACATGACTCCAGGGTATCGATTGTAGTACCTATCACACTTGTAAGTGATTGCTCTCGGTCAGAAGTGAACAGGATCTCCATACCACGTGCCGCCAAATCCTCCAGCAACGTCAACACATACGACATCCTTGCTACTGATACCAGCCTCGATGAGGCGTCCCCCAAAGACAACACCATTGATACCAGCACCAGTGATGAGGTATTTGATGTTGGTACCGTCTTTCAGAGGCGGGTCGTTGACTCGTGGATCATTATAATCCACCCAAGGGTCCTTGTCAAGATCTTGGAGACCTCGCGATCGGAAATTGACATATTGCTTCTGACCAGAGTGTTTTAGGCGTTTGTCCCGTTCCTCTGCATACTTATCGAGCAGTGCTTTGCTGACATCTTGTAGAGGTCGAATTGATCCCATCGTGATAAATAGAGCAATCGTAATTGTAAGTATAATTCGAGGAATACTATGATAAAGAGTTGGTTCTCTAGACTGTAAACTTGTGTAACAGTATTGAGAAGATGTTGAATTTGAGAGAACTAAGCAGCAGCACGTTTCCCTGAGTTATAATCAACGTTTCCTTCCTTGATACGGAAACGGACACTATGTCTTCCGTTCACTTCTTGTAGACAACCTCCACATAACCTCTTCAGCCATACGCACGTAATGTGGATCTAAGAACCCGGGCCAAGGCAGGCCATCCTACGGGCACTCACGATCTCCCTTCTTTCTGTTAATGGCTGCTGACTTGGTCTCTCACAGTCGAAGTATGATGAACGTAGAAAGTTGCTCCGCAAGAACCGTATAGCTTTGCGTATAGGGTGGGGTCATAAGAAGGGCCGATCCGGTTGATTCGCGATTAGTCGTCAACGAATTCTACCGGGAACGTCTCTCCTAATGGGCAAGGTAAACATTTGAAAGCACTAAGCCACTTTGTGCTGTGTGAAACACACTTAGGCTGATCTGATCACGGAAAAGGTTTTTTTGGTCTTCCGATGTTCTTGGCTGGTATATGTCTCTCGGAGCGCTTCGTATCCGCGGTCCTTTCTAACGCGGATGCTTTCTGGAATGTGTACCTTCTGTGGCGGAGGCAAGGCCAAGGCGGACACGGACACGGACACGGAGGCGGAGTCGGAGGGTGAAGTAGATCCCGACTTACTGCTCTGCGAGCATACGCTTACTAACCCGGAGAATGCCAAGATTCGACACCATGCCTTCGGCTTCGTGAATACCCATCCAGGTGATTGAGAGAAGTTGAGTTCGATAGACCTCAGGTTTTCATTGCGATAACAGTCGGGCTACATGACACGCGTAGAACGTATCATAAGAGTTAGATGTGGTACGCACTACCTAACGAGGAAGGCATCATCCGTACTCGTCCGTTTTGTTTTTCGCCGTCCTCGTCACCCTTGCTGTCATCGTGACCCTAATTACAACCATAGGCTACAACTAAACTAATATGATAGAACGCGGCGGAACATGATCCGAAGTAGTTAGCGAACGCCAGTCTCCTTTCGCCGCTAGATTTCCCACCAAGTTGTAAGCAACTTTATCACCAGTATGTTGCACAGATCTCACTATGACAACACCAATACGCACGTATGTGTTCGTCATATGTTCGACCTTTTCGATACATATGCCTCGACTTGATGTGATCATCAACACATCGCAGGACATATGATGAACAAAGTCGAAAAAGACTATACCCTCAGTCGATATGCCGTTACGGAGCTGAATCATGCAACCTCGGCCATCTGGAACTTCGAATTCGGCCTGAACATCTGTGACAAACGTTACTGGTCCTGTGAGGCGGGCAAAACCCTCCTTGAGTGCCCCAAAGGGGTCAATACCACAGTGAGTGACGCTGCACTCTTCGAGACAAGCACTGTACTCAATGTCGGAGTACCATAACAGGTGCGTAATTCTGCCTTGTACAGACGCCCAAGACCATGAAGGAGCGATCCATTCGTGTCGTCTTCTCGGTGTTTGAGGATGTCCTTCCACTCTTTCTGGCGAACCCAACCTCGCCTCTGGACGCCACAAAAGGCCGTCCAAGAAGTTCTGCTTCCATAACCCTGCGTAGTACGTATCACCAGTAAGTCTTTGAATCTCTTGAATGATACCCGATATTGCTGGTAGAGCGTCGGTATCATAGGTCAATTGGCGTGCGCTATAGGACTCTATGAAGCGAGCCCAGTGACCTATTGCGAATTGTTGACCGTTGGGCTGCCAGGGCTGGCTTACAGATTCTGCGATCTTTTCAATTCTGCCAACGATTAGACCGGCATGGTCTTCCGAGCCGTCTTCGGTTCCATAAAATTGATCGCATCCCCAAGTCATCTGGCCTTCATTGAAGCGCAGAACACGATGGGAGAGAAGACTTTCTTGAGCAGCCCATGCACGTCTGTCCAAAGCTTGTGAGAACTGAGCGAAGTCAACGCTTGGCAAGCATCAGAACGTGTGGTTACAAACTAACCTCGTAGCTTCGATCGGAACGCTGTTGGAAGTAAAACTTGAATGGGCCTTCATCATCTTCAATGTCTACACACAGTGGGGTGCGTACTTTGCGGACACCAAGGAACCCCTCTCCACAGTGCTCTGCTCGCGAAGCAGCTATAGTCAGGTGCGCATTGGAGTACACATCTGCCATACGTGCAGATTCGTGTTCCCAGTCTGCCTTGGAGTCTTGCAGTATGCATAGACAATCGATCCAGATGTATTCAATGCCCAGCCATCGCACTACCACGATAGCATCCTTTAACGTTTGCGGTAACGTGCTGAAATCTATAGCTGATTTATGTGCTTGCAAATTGATTGTGGTGGTTGTTGAGGGCAAGTCAGCACCCCAGCAGTAGCTCAAGGCAGCATAACGGCCTGTCTGACCATTGGAAGACTGAAAGAGCTTGCAATCCTTCTTCTGAAATAATTCTCCCCAATTTTGGTGCTTTCCAAGCATTTGGTTTTGATCAGGTAATGCGCTCACATCCAAAACTCTTGTCGGTAGTGGAACAAGTCTGGTTGACAAATGAGAGCACTTGGGATGGCTATTGTTGCATTCATCCAGCCAGGATAGCATTTGGTTGAGTGTATTAGGGTGTACTGTCTCTTGAAAGACGACACGGTCGATCTGACTCTTCAACGAACTGTCTGTATGCCTTGATCAGTTTCGGTGCACTCGTGTTCACTTGTAATGAGACTTACTGAGACTTTTTCGGAAATCGAGCACCAACTCCCGAGTTTTTCTTTCACGGGAGTTACCTAAGCAGATACGGAAGCTCGGTCTATAGTACGGATGCGCCAGTAGCACTATCCAGATCATAAGATCCCGCGGAATGGCCGTCTTAGCCTCGTCCCATGTCAATAGTCTCAGAAGATTTTCGTAGAACATCTGCCACTTATGTTCTTTGATTTCTGATAATATATTGGCACAGAGTCGACACGTCTCGGCGCGGGACATCAGTTCTGATACAGTACATAGTCGCTCGTTCCAAGAAAGGTGGTCTGAAAACATCGGTGATGTTCATCCAACCGAATTGAACCTGAAGCCGTCGTTCATGATCGCTTTTTCATCACGGTTGATGATTTTGCGAAATGGGATGGATTTGCACACGATACATAAAGACATGGTTACGAATGTAACGCGTTTAGTGTGTGGTGTGCTCCTCACAGTTCAGCTGCTCTAAGATGTTGCTCAGCCTCCTCATAACGTGACTTCCGGGCTAGCCTCATCTGGCACACAATACTGTCCAATGACAGACGTGACTTGAAAGATAGTATTGAACGTGTGACAGGCAAGGTGATAACCAAAGTTCTTCTTTTTCAGACCTTGACCAATACTAGCTTGTACGCAAATCCAGAATGGTTGACTAACGAACACTTTTGGTGATGTTTGACGCGACTATTCCAAAGACATCAACCCCGCATGCAGTCTACTCAGCCTTATCCTGACCTCCTCCACCCTATTTCCTAACGTTTTTGCCTCCCGTGCCTCTTCCAACTCCCTCACATCCTTGTCGCCTTCCACACCCCTCATTTTCCTACTATCCTCTTTCTCAAATCTCCTCCTCCACATACCCATATAGTTGACAGCCGCCTGCCTCACCCAGATACACCACCACATGCTCCCCACCCACCGCACGAGTTCATCATCCGTTGCACCGGCATACTTTACATCCGTCCACTGCATCTGGAAGTTCTTCTCGCGCGGCGTGGTAGCAAGCGAAAGGGTACCAGTTTCGGGGTCGAACAATGTCCAGCGGAAGAGACAGAATAGCTTAGCTGAGGGCGACATGTTAGCTGGTGGTGGATGCGGCGTGAATGGCACTGGTGGCGTGCGTGGAAGAGCATCGATATAGACCGGTACATCTTGGGGATGGGTAGAGAAGAGGGGAGGGAAGAATGACGAGACAGGTGAGTAGGGCGTCGTAGGTGTGGTAGTGATGGATGAGCTCGGCGTGAGGGGCGGTGTTGAGGGTGGTGTCATCTCGCCGATCATCGCGGGCAGGAGATCCGGAACGATGGACTGTAGGTGCTTGACGACGATGGCAGGTCGAGAAACGTCGATGGTCCATCCATCGATGCCGGCGGGTATGGTATTAGTGATAAGATCTCGTAGTCTCTGCTCCTCGCATTCTTTAGCCCAGGCGGCGCGCTTGATGTAGTATTCGGTTGCAATGTGAGGAAACATGGTGAAGACCTTGTCGCGGACAGCTGCCCTGGTACGCTTATACCATAATTGAAGATCATTGTCGACGTGCTCGCTAGTTTGGCTATCGTTGTCCTCCAATCCGGTAACGTGTTCGTTGAGAAAATATCCAGGGTAATGCTTGGGTACCCATTCTCTGATGAAAGGCGTCCAATGCGGCGCGCGATCTTCGAGCCGGTCGTTGTACTTCTCCTCAGCCAGTCGAGCGGCGAAGTGACCCGGGTGGAAGAGCCAAGAGCTAGCAAAGTGTTCGTAGACTAGAATCATGATCAGCTTGCGCGCGTCACATTATGACTTATTAGACTCACTCTCGTCCTTGCTCTTGAAGCCAGCTTTCAGTATCCTCCGATCCAAACCTACGACCCGCAGCGCATCCTTCGGGTCCTTGCTAATCCACACCATGCTTCCAGGGAAGTTTGTCTCTTCAACCTCTTCAACGCAGATGTGCATACCTTCTGGGTCGATTGTAAGGCCCAGCGGCTTCACCATACTTCCGATGATCTTGCTATTGCTTGCGTAATTGAGCTCAAAGTGGCACCAACGAAACAGCTCGGGCTTGAAGCAGATCTTGATGTCGATCTGAACAAAGTAGTTTTCTTCGGCGTGGGGAGCGTCGATGGCAAAGTACATGCAATCCGGGGTAAGATAGCCCCGGCGTCCGTGGGTAGTATCAAGAACTTCTTTAATGAGACATACGGTGCTCTCCCAGGGAAAGTCGTCGATCGAGGTGCTGTGTCGAGAGTGTAGAGGCTCGCAGACTAGAAAGTCGACGTCACCAAAATCATCCTGCCATTGTCAGCGAATTCAGTGTATGTGCGATGCATAGTCATACCTTGCCAGGCATCTCGGTTGGCACAACAACTTGTGCGAAGACAGTCTGCAACGCAGCGGTCGCCTGTGCTTTGACCTTTTCGTAGACAGTCGGAGAGATGCGCGGACAGTATAGTCCTTTGAAGGCATGGCCACCCATCTTGTGCTGTAGTCAACGAAACAAGCAGTAGTCAGTGTTGCTGAAACTTGTCGAAGATGGTAAAATAGTGGAGTGTAAACGATAGGTGGAGATCTTGTTATGTCTGCAGTATCGTACTGAGCAATCTCTAGACAAAGTAAAGGTGATGGCAGCTGAGTTATATTAGGTGCATGTAAAAGACATCCAGATGACACAGCGAGTGCTTGACGGCACAAAGATCGCAATCCTGTACACCGCTCTCTTGAGAGGTACTTGTTGTCTTCCAGGCTTACATTCACTTTGGGTACTCTATAGGACGTGTGAGAGTTGGTGCATCGAGTCTTCTTAGAGCTGTTCCGTCTTCATTGCGCATGCAGCAGTCGATAAACCGCGAGGGTACAGAACCACTTCTTGCTCATATTCAGATGAAAAGTAGCCCTGAGTGATTGCGCATCTTGAAGAGCACATGTCCAGCTTGTATTGCGGACAGCCTCTCGTGTGGCATGAGTTTCGTGAAATCTCATACCTCAAAATCCTTCTGCGGCCTCTGTATTACTTCAACGTATCTTGATGTCTGTAGTCTCCAGGACGAATTATGCCTCGTCGGCAGCCTTCCAGTCTGCCATCCATAGCCACAGCTGCAGCGCATCTTTGCGGCGTTCAGAAAACGGTTGGACGAGGCTGTCCCATATCACCTTCACCACCACCGCCCATGCGGCGCAGCAATGCCACGAGCGCTAACTCTGAACACTTATTAGCACGACAACCACGACAACCACAAAGGAAATACAACCATCCCTTACTATGGCAGTGGCACGTCTCCAAGCAATCCTCGCATGCCTTCCTTGCGGTACCGCAGAAGCCAAAGCCGAGACCTGTCCCAACGAAAAAGCCGCGCTACTCTCCGCCGCTACATCCAACTCACGTCTTACCGCTGAGACTGCCGACAATGTTATCGCAATCCTCCTGACCACGTCCCTTACCGGCCCAGCCCTCCACATGCAGCTCGACTCCGTCGTCGGCGCATCGGGCTGGCGCTCCAACATGGCCAAATACGTCCTAGAAAAGCTCACTGCCGCGCTGCAGGCGTCGCACGAGAGACTCGGCCCAACTATCCGCAGCGCCTACCATCGCGCATGGGAAGCAGCGCAAAGCATCCAAGGCTTCGTCATCGAGCATCCCGTCATGTGCACCGTCATTGCCCTGGGCGTACTTGCAGTCGTCGCGCCGTGGGTACTCGAAGCGCTCGGTTTCGCAGAGTTGGGGCCAGTCCAAGGTACGTGTTATTTTAAAACATGCGTCTCTGCCCTTTTCATTGCTCATTTCCAATCAAGACGGATGTTGTTGGATGATTGAGAAAAGGTGACGGGATGATGGGCGACAGAAGCGAGAAAGGATGCGTCCCGCGGAAACTTGGAAAAAGCAAATGTGACGGAGAACTATTAAACTATGTACCTTTGCGAATGACTTTCTATTTGCGGAAACTGACGCGACACAATGCAGGTACCTTCGCTTCCTGGTGGCAGTCGGCCTACGCTGGCCTGGTACCGAAGCGCTCGCTGTTCTCCTTTTTCCAGCGTTTGGGCATGGTGAAGTGGCACTGGGTTCTGGTCTGAGAGGCAATGAAGCTTGGTTGTCTTGTCCCCGCGGTTCTCATTTGCCAGGAGGTTCCTTCCGGGGTGATTTTCAGGGAAGCGGGGGAAGAAACCAGATGTAGAACGGGTATTGAAGGAGCCGATATAGCTGCAGGCCGAAGGATTCTGTTCATCTCGCGAATCTTGCTTGCATGACTGACATGGGGGGGCGCCTACATCGTTTCTTGCCTAACGTCCTGAGGCCCTGTAATGCTCGTCTCCAGATGTCATCGCAATCTCCTCACAACTCACAACGTCATAGACGCTATGTCATACTGACTCCAGAACGACAGACAGACTGCAAAGGACTGTTTCAAAATAACGCAACTGTTCCCGTCCCGCAAAGTTAACAGGTAACAAGGTTGATCGCAATAAATAAACCGCAGACATGACTGAAGCGCACCGTGTGTGGGACCAAAGGGGAAGATTTGCGGGGGCGCCGTGGAGGCCGCGTAACTCGTACGCGCCCGCGCTACTACTACTGTCAAAACAATAGCCATTTTCCCTACCACCACCGTCCACTAGTCCCGCCAAGACCACTTGTCACGACACCATCCACCCCACGCACGACGGCTGCTCGCGGGAGGGGCGTACCGCGTCTCATTGGCTGTTTGGGCTGGACGTCTCAACGTCTTTTCCTTGTCGTGCTTATCTGCGCCCATCGCGATCGTTATGCGACAGCGACTCTATGTCCTCGGAGGCGGAGAGGTGAAACACCACAACAAGAATAATACTGCCCGCCCAGCTTCTAGCGCGCTTGAACCCGTTCTCGAAGCACGGTACATCAGAGTGCTTTGGGCGGCATGGTGCGACGCTGTTATTGCACATAGCAGCAAGAATAAAGATGAAGATGGAGATGGTGGGGATAGTGGTGATGGTGTTGAGGAACCATGGCCGTGGGTTCTGGAGTACATGGGCACAGGCCTTACGACTGCTCAGAAGGAATGTTTGACTGGAGATGAGGATCTGAAACGAGCAGCTCCTCTTGCGGAGGCAGTGTTATTTGGTAGTGCGATGCATGATGGTTTGAGGGGGTATGTTGTCAAGAGTGGTAACGGGGATGGGGATGCGGATGCGGATGCGGGTACTGGTACCGAGCGCGCAGAGCAGAAGATCGTCCTATTCGGTACCGACGTCGAGATGGAAGAGGGTGTGCCAGAAATCCAGACTTTTCTGGTAAGCGAGAGCGGGTTCACAGCGACCATTACAGACGTGAAGATCGATACCTCAGGCTGCATATCGCTCTACACGGCATCTCCGTCTACAACAACCACAACCACAGACTTGGTCCTGCGCTTTGAGAACTTTTCGCATCTCCGGCGGTATCTTTCTTTTGCTCCACAGCCCTTCTCGCGTGCACGGGAAGTAACATGCCTCCCATTCACATCCCCCTCCCCACCCCAACACGTGGTAAACGCTACGACAACATCTGCTCTAGACGCCAATATGCACGTTTGGACTTCGACCAGTGATCCTAGATACCCAAAATGCTTAGGCCGGTCACATGATGGCGGGTTCGACATGTCGCCCTTGCCCTATCTGGAGGAGTCATGCATCCTAAAGGTAGCGGCTGGCGGTTATATGAGTGCGGCGGTGAGCTCGGACGGGGAACTGTTTGTTTGGGGTCAGGCGTGTCCTGGAGCAGGTAAGGAACTAGACGTGCTTAAGGTTAGTGAAGGAGTAGAGGCGCCGGTCACAGGGATTGGTGTTGATGAGGAGCAGGATGAGTTTGTCAAGTGCTTGGATGTGAGGATAGATGGACAGGTGGCGAGGGTGTATGATGTGGCGGTTGGCCACGGGCATCTTTTGGTGGCTGCTGAATTGTGTGAAACGGGAGAAGAGACTAAGAGTGTGTTGTTTGCAGCTGGAGATGACAGTGAAAACCAGCTTGGTCTTGAAACCGGTGCAGACTTCAAGGAGAGTTTTGAAGAAGTCGCATCTTTACGAGGCAAGCGAATTGTTCAGTTAGAAGCGGCTGGATGGTCAACTTATGTCGTATTACTCGAAAAGTAAGTGTACATTATCGTATGCTTTGTGGTTCCCAACTAGGTATCATATTGGGTACATCAATACAAGTGAAGGACTCAACCTAGCACGCCATGTACGGGAGTGAAATCGACACACAGCTCTGCTTAACAGAGACAGCCTCCACAACGCGCTGATCCTCCGCAACAGTACGCCAGAAACCTCAAACGATTGGCTGGTCCTTGTTCGACATTGAACGTTGGGGCCTCCGCGTCGACCTGTCCATCGTGGATACTCACCGCCGGTGCTGATAGTGGTGGCAGATATCCGTTGAGCTCAATAGCGATGGCCGTTGTGACCGTGATGGAACCGGCTCTGCTCTGGTCCCTCGGAGGTAAAATCACGACTTGAGGTTTCTGTGAGGCCTTGGAGGCTCTCGATGCCGAATGATTGGATCTGCGAGTGGTGAGGTGGGTGAGCTGGCGAGGGAGGATCCACTCAAATAGAGGACGTAGGTGAGGGCAGCATGCTACGATAATCCCAGTGCTTATCTGGGCGGTTGCCCACATCAAGGTGGTGCCTATACCATATGTCACGTCGCCTTGATATGCAACATCAGCGAGTGAGTCGACGCGAAAGCCACCGATGAATATGTTGCTGAGTTGGTTAGTCCCAGCGGATCGAGAAGTATAGGTACTTCTCGCACAACAAACCGAAAGCGAACATCAAGGAGACGGCCAGCTTGTGCGATCGCCGCAGCCTCAAATGCCAGACGACATAGTGTGGTGAACACCAGATCGACGCATCCAGAACCACTCCCAGTACCGCTATAGATACTACATACGGTTTCAACCGGAAACAGTGTTCCGGATCCTCAAGAGGCATCAGGTAGTTGTGTTTCCACGGACGGCAGTGGAGTGCAATGACGACCACGGACGCAAGTCCTAAGGCAATTGCCGTAGCGATACAAAAGTGTGCTGTAAGCCAGATTAATAAACACGTGTGTATCGGAAGTGCCTGGTTGTCCGAGGTTCAACAATACCACCGTGTCTAAGCCAGCGGTACGTTTTAGTGTACAAGGTTCGGACAAGAAGACGAGGATTGCGCATCGGGTGAGGGCGATGCTGATAGCCATGGGAAGCCGGAAGAGCCATAGTATCTGCATGCGTAAGCTCTGTCCAGGATGGAAGAAGCATAGTCCTACTATCAGCGTTCGCTTGAGGTCTGCCATGGTAGCTGTCACTGTGTGCTGACGGGCAAGACTAGCAGCCACCGCTTCGTTGCATTAGCCATGGCATCTGATTGCAGACGGAAGGACTCGCAAACTATGAACATTGCCATGACCACATATTGGAGGAGCTGATGCATGTGGTCAGACATGGCACTCGCTTTCGCTACAAAGGCTGGGTAGTACCAGAGCAAGCAGCAGGAAAGTATCGTCGATGGTCCATGGCAGCAGCCGTGACCGCTTTGCGCAGAAGCGTGCCAGGAGGAAAAGCAGAGGTAACACCGACAGAATAACAAGGCCCGCAATATATTTGCCGAACAGCATGGGTCGTCTCGGATCGTGCCGAGTGAGGAAAAAAAGAAGCGGCGGAGTACCTGGAAATCGCTTCAGACTGCAGCCGTGCGCATTACGAGATGGAATAGGGCGATGCAAAGCTAAATGGGCGGATAGGTCTCGAAATAGATTGTAGGGTTGTGGCGGTGGGGAGGAAGATGGTGGTGGATGGGAATCGAAGATGCAGATGCATATGGTTATGCGGAGCTACTGCCGTCGAGGGTGGTGAAACACACGAGAGACAGCAATAAACGCAAGAGCGGTGCCGATGAGAAAGTGAAGCAATCCGGGAAGCCGCCGTTGGGATGCCAACATTGAGCATGGATGAAGTGAGTTGCGGGCACCTCTGCGGTAGCGACGGCGGCGACAAGGTTCCATTACTGGTCCGGGTGTCGCAGGTGTCAAAGGAGTTGTTCGGGCAAATCCTCGACTACCGTGCACATCAGATTGCCATATCCGCGACCCATTAATTACCTGATGATGTCAATCGCGGAAGAAAAAATGTTGCCGTGTTGATGCCCGGGTGACCAAAGCTGTAAACAAACCTGACATATCGTGACTGCCCAAAAGTAGTAAGCGATGCCTGGACGGGGTTAGCACGGAGATCAGGGCAGCCAAAGCCTGAGCAGGCGGCGAGAAAAGCAAATGAGGGGTGCTAGGGTTGAGGGCGAGGGGTGAAGAGGGTTCGGTGAGGGTTCGTAGAGGTTACCAGCAAGTCGCAGAATGGTGCACAAGGTGAATTTGTCGGGTTTCAGAGTGCCCGCCGCAATGTAGGCCACCAACTATGTTTTACCAGTAAGCTGATGACCAGCGCAGTCGGCTTTCCTGCGCCACTGTCGGACCTATCGACACCCACGCGGCACCGGATATCCGACAACAGGCACCAGTTCGGAGGTATGACTCTTAAGTCGCTGGAAGGCATACAACTCTATCGCGAGTTTCGAGATGCGAATGCTTTGCTCAGCCTCGGACCAGTGTCGCGTCTGCTCGAGTCTCGAGTCGGTCCGACCGGGTTCTTTTTTCGGCGTACCTGCTTTAGTACGGAGGTATTGACACACCTCGGACAATTATTACACGCCCGTATATGCAATCCATTTTGTATGCGCAAATTCATACATCACGACGAGCACATGTTTGTCAGGCAACGGTACCCGCGCAGTAGGATTCTCCGCTTGCGTGGCCTGCGCTGATCGATCGCACTTGAATCTTAGCTATGCTGGCTGCCGTCCAGTCAGAACAGATCGTCGGGCTCAAAACGCATCACTGGCAGGGCTGATCAGGCATTAGAGAAACACCTGAGAGAGGCAAAAAAGCAAGGGTAGCGTCGATCATGATCACCACCACCTCACGCAAACGAGCCTCGTTTGAAGTGGGTACGATAGTTCACGCAGGCTGTCGCGGCACTGCTGCACATGGCTTCCCACGACGCTGAGAGGCTGTGGATTTTCTCACCATCAAGCGCTACAAGGCGAACACCCCATGGCAAAACGGAGAATCCGGTGCTGTTGCCACGACGGTAGCAGACGGCGCATGACAGGCCGTACGCCCTCTATTCGCTGATTGGGCCGTTGTGCGAAACGCGAGCGGGATCCGGCAGATGGGTGCGCGCCATCCAGGGGTGCAGCATAGTTCATCCTTCTTTCTGCGCTTTTCCAAGGCCGTGCAAGACCCACCCATGTCGGTGGTCCAAGGCTGTAAACGTCATGTGCCCGTCCAGCTGCCTGCCAACTCGTACTTTTCCGCTTGGGACCCATAGCATTTCTTGTCGAGCTAGGGCTGCCTGGGGAGTGGGAAGCGAGATGGGCCACTAATGCCATCCTGACCTGATCCGTCGACCGTTTTTCTGGCTTCAAAGTAGCCTTGCCATCCGTTTTACACGCGGCAGCTTCTCTTTTCCTTTTGCTTCGACGAGCCATCATCGTTACAACTTCCGGAACCCCTTGAGACTGCACTGTGTATTTAGGGTTCTGCACTCCCTCTCGACTTGCTCCGCGGCTCCTGCGGCCATGAACTAGCACAGCAATCCGCTCTATCCGGACTAATAATACATACCATGGAAAACCGACAGTCTTCGCCATCCCCTCGCCGGGCGAGTCCTCGACACAGCATGCAGAGACAAAGAAGTAACTCGTTCCCCATTGTTGAGGCTCTGGGATGCTCAACGCCAGAAGCACTCCTCATTCTGGCAGAAGGTAGAGCCGCAGTTCGGAAACGCCGAGCTCGACGCAACCAGTCGGTTAACGATGAAGTCAACCGCCTCTTCAACCCTCAAGACCACATCAAGTTCCTGGAAGGACTTGCCGCCCTACCCACGCCTCAGGATCAACCATCCCCCTTTGACCCAAAATACTCGTTGCACTCCCGGGTCCCATCGGATGCCACAGATCACAGCACTTCAACCGTAGTGCCGCATGTGAACGATGGGGAGCCTCGGAATCTCTCACCAACGCTAGGCGACTATTCCGCCAACCTTGCCGCTTTCATCAAGAACCAGCTCAAGTCCATACCAACGTACCAATCCAATCATCGCCCCACATCATCCCTTTCCCCCCGGTCATGCCCGGATCTATCGTTTCCTATGCGAACCCCTCCGTCACCGAATCCATCCGGTCGGCGACAAGTCGAGGGCCCAAAGGCAATTGAGATACCCCCGGTGCGACCACCGATGAAAAGCCAATTCTCCGCCTGGAGCTCCACCGACGACGAGACAGACGACGAAGCGCTCCCCCTACCGGAATATGCACTGCCGACTTCGGCATGCAACTCCAAGGGAAGCAAGTACACGCCATCCATCTTAGGCTACTATGAAACCTCGCATAACAACTCGTCGTTTCTATTTTCATCAACGCCGCTAGAAGAAGAGTCAGAGCCCACTACGGCTAAAGCCTTCAAGTTTCCTGACCCGTCAGCACTACCTCGTTCGTCACCCGATGAGCAAGACCATGATGATGACGATGACGACGACGACGACGCTGCGCACCAACACGACTACCCCTCTTCGTCTTGCCCCTCTCAGCCTCAGCTCACTTCCACGTCAGCGCCTTCGTACACGTCGTCTTCGGCGTCGAGTTCCAGTTACTTTGACTGCAAGCGACCTGTGGCTATCACGCCGCAAATGAAGGAAAGGGTGATTGCGGCTGTCACGCCCCCGCATCCACACAACAAGAGGCTTACCGCCGTGTCGCCTTGGGAGGGGAATGCGTTTTCCAACGTACACGACGTGTATGTTGAGTCGCAGCACCGCGTCAACGTCGATGGCATGTCTTTCGATATGCTCCGCGACTTGAACGTGTCCAGCAGACTTACACCTTGCTGATTGCGTTTACCACGCTTTGTTTCCGATCTTTCTTGTCTTACTAGCGCGCGCGTTCGGAGGTGTTGTCGTCGTTCATGTTGCCAAGAGCGCCTGTGGTCTACAGCTGGTCTGCGCCACATGCCAACGGCCCTCTCCTTTTGGTTTTGCAACATTTCTTCTTCCTTGTCTTTTGGTCCTATATATATCCCTCTTGTAATCCGGTATCTCCTGGGCGTTTCATACAAGACTGCTTGGCCTTTTCTTATGTCTGCGGTTGTGGCTTGGTTCGGCAGAGTTTGCTTTTGTCTTGTTTTCTATTCTACGAACAAGCGGGTTTTTACTTTTGAGTTGTCGGGCGTCTACTTGGAACACACGACGAGTATACGCGACACACGAATTCCATTCTTTTAATCTAGCGAGAGAGAGAGACTTTGGGGGAGGCTAGCATATTTTTTCGGTTGTGAGAAGTAGGGGGACACACAAGTAGCGAAGACAGAATGGCAGCACGGAAGAGAGTAGCAGATTTCGGCATAGGTCAGTCTGAGAAGAAACACGCAGCATACATTTGCACACAACAAGGTACAAAACACATCCGGTAGCAATACACAAAAAAATCATTTGCGCACGTCATGCTTTTCTCTGCACCTTGTTGAGGGGTACATGTGATGCTAAGATAGGGCTGGGAAGCTTCCATACCGAGTACCTGGGTTGAGCAGGACGGGATCTGAATCAGAGACAACGGCAGTGCGAGCACGGGTAGATTGTGAGCGGTGAAGAAGGGGGACTATATGCAAGGTCCCGCTCGTGCAGACGGCGTGTGTCGATCTGGAGACGGGCTGGAACTGCATGGGTGGCGATCGGGGCATTTTGAGGGATGCGGCGACGTCATGTTCTGATTGGTTTGCGCGACGAGGCGGGCTTTTGTATGGCGAGGAACGCGACTGTGCCGCGAGAGCAAACACGACACGCGCAGCTGTCTGAAGACGCAACGCACTTGGCTCCATGGGTTTTTGTTGCGGTTTTGCCTGATTGCCTTTGACTGCACTGACGCTCTTTGCCATTGTAGGCGGGTCAAGGTATAGGACACGTTGAAGGTTGGAGTTCCAGTTACTTCAAATTCACCAAAACCTTCCCCACCACTCCCACTCCCACTCCAACCGCGCACTCTGCCCACCATGGCAGACTCGGAGCCCAGCCTTGTGGCCCTGGCCCTCGGAAACGCCGCCTATGCCTTCTCCAAGGTGCAGCCGCTCTTGCCAGTCTACCTCCACATGATCCTCGCGTCTCTGTTCCCCATCTACGCCGCATCCCACGCATCCCTCACCCGGCCCTCGACCGCTGCGAAACCCACCAAGAAAGGAAAGAAAAAGACACGGCGCGAGGGCGACGACGAAGACACGGACAGCGAAGATGAGGCAGAAGAACCCACGCACGAAATGGAAGGTCTCACCAACAAGGACATCATCCTCTTCCCCCTCTTCGCCGGAATAGCCCTGGCAACACTGTACTTCCTCATCAAATGGCTCGAAGACCCCACCGTCCTGAACCAAGCCCTCAACGCCTACTTCGCCATCTTCGGCGTCGCAGCAGTAACAACGCTAGTATCAGACGTCCTCGACATCGGCCACTCCATCATCTTCCCACGTCGACACGCCCTCGCCGGCGCTCTCTACCACGTCCACGCCAGCAACGCCCTCGCCGTACCAGTCGCCGGCACCACCAGCGCCAGCCAAACTCTTTCAACCCCCTTACCCGGCTTCCTCGCACGCATACCACTGTCGCAAGCCGCAGAAGAATGGCTCTGGGCCGACCGCGCAATGCCGAGTCGCAAGTGGACGCTCAAACTGCACACACACGGCGCCCTCTTCGGGAAGCTCAGAATCAGCGCGCACACCATGGTCGGTGCTGCCGTTGCACTCTCTACCATCCTCTACTTCAACCTCGTGGATAAACCATGGTATCTGACCAATCTACTCGGCTTCAGCTTCTGCTACGGGTCTCTGCAGATGATCTCTCCCACGACCTTCTTCACGGGCAGCGCGATTTTGGTCGGGCTCTTCTTTTACGACATCTACATGGTTTTCTTCACCCCGCTCATGGTTACTGTCGCGACGAAGCTCGATGTACCTATCAAACTCATGTTTCCTAAACCCGGAGGGAGGAACACGGCTGCTATGCTTGGGCTAGGCGATATCGTCATACCAGGCTTGATGGTGGGGCTGGCGCTAAGGTTCGATTTGTACCTGTTCTATCTGAGGAGACAGAAGCGCGTGTCAGCAAAGACTGGTGAGAGTGGGGGAGACGAAGAAACTGTTATCAAGGCGGAATACTACCCTCTTGCGGGTCGGTGGAGTGATCACTTCTGGACGCATTCGTTCATGGGGAGGCCGCTGTGGAGTTCTACTTCTCCCACCGGTGCTGCTTCGAGGACGCAACAAGGCGGAGAGGAGAACGAAGAGGCGCCATTCACCTTTCCCAAAGTTTACTTCAATGCTGCGCTGGTAGGTTATGTTGGCGGTTTGGTTGCTACGTTATGCGCACTCCATCTTATGAATCATGCGCAGCCGGCGCTACTTTGGCTAGTGCCTGGTGTGTTGATTAGTCTTTGGAGTACGGCGCTTGTGAGGGGCGAGTTGGGGCTGATGTGGAATTACAGTGAGGAAATCGTTGAAGAAGAGGGAGACGCAGATGGGAAGGGGGAGAAGAAGAGAACGCAGCAAGGCAGTACGAGCGGCGACAAGCATGACAGGAAGGATGAGAAGGCCGAGAAAGCGAAGACCAAGTCGCGCAGGTCGGATCGAGAGCTGCTCTCGTTTTCTATCGAGGCGCCGCGGAAACCTCGTCGGACTGCATCGATTGAGAGTGATGATGTCGAGGTGGAGCGGAGCGGCACTGTTACGACTGCGCAGTCTGTTGGTAATGGAACGTTTTGGGCGGGGTCAACTTCCAACACGACGGCTCGTCAAGAGGTAGATACGGAGCCTGCTGGAAAACGTCTAAGGGTGAGATAGCAGAGCAGGAGAGGTCCTACGGTTATATTGTAACGATTGCGCATAATGGCCTGCATATAGCGATGGAGTTATAGGGTTTAACTGGTCTGCATGGAGTCTTTTTATGCTACAGATTCGAATGTCATGCGACCCTTTTTTATCTGGTAGTGTGTATGCTATATTACACATACATATATATCCTATTTTTCCATACAACAAACTGATCTTGATCTCTGTGCAGCCCCAGGCGCCAACTCAGAATCTCTTACGAGCTAGAGACTCTTTGGGATTGACATCGCTGTTGCGTCTCAGATGATGTTGTAGTTGAGCTAGCCGACCATAGCTCATATTGAAGTCTTATCAGCTCCGTCGCTCTCAATAGCCTTCTACTGCGTTAGGTCACACTAATGCAAGGCTCGTACTTCATCCCCAAAGATTGTTTATTTTCGATCTAGAGACCCAAGCTATAGTAACAAAATCAGCAAAGAACAACTGAGCAGCTTGTACCAGCAGTAACGACGAATCCAGTAATGTACTGGCAATGATTACACTATAGAGTATTGTATTGGTGTGTACTGCACTATCTGTTCGCACCTTCTCAAGCACAGCACTTGGAAGGGTGATGAACATGGTGCGATCTTTGCGGTTCGTGGCGTCAGCAAGAAGGTACTATGCTACCACAGGAAGCAGTATCTTGGAAGTGCTTTCTCCTCCGTAGTGTACAGTATGTGTGACATTCTTATATTGCCTCGAAGTCTCGCCAACTCTACGGCCAGCATTGACCGCATGTTGCGGAAACGATGCCCCAGCAATCAACAACCGGATCCGAAAACCTTTCTTGAACCTATGCGCACAGTCGTTGAGGTATAGAACGAGTGTTTGAGCTTTCCTCGTTGCGCTCAATCGTCTGTAAGTTTCTGTTATGTTATGCGATCGTCCTTTCGCATCCACTTCGCTGATACGAACGAACAGATCCACATCCAGATCTTCGCTTGCGTGGTTCAACTGCACGATGATCTTGCCTGCAACCTCGACGTCGTTTTCAAGAGGTTCGGTTGTGAAGGTAAGAACGTCGGAGCGGGCTGCTAGCGCAGTATCGTCGGCACTTCCTCCACCTAGAAGTAGCAGATTACCTCCTACGGTCGGCGTGGGGTCTTTCGGATCAAAGACAAAGCATGAATATCCTTCTTTAATAGCCTTCTGAGTCATCAAACGCTGATCAGGTCCAAGATACCACTCCAGTACGACTGTCGATGGTGGCCAAGCCGCTTCGTGCCGCCACTCTTTTGCTCCTGTAACGAAGTATTGGACCGGGCTCTTTTGCGCTTGAACATTTTGCTTTGCGAGATGCTGTTCGATCCAGTTGTACGACTGCTTGTGTACTTCGGTCTGCATACCGACTTGAGTATGGTTCCAAGGGCCCATCATTAGCGCAACATTCGTACCGCGCTCACTCAGTCGCGCGTACTGTCGCAAAGTCTGCGGCGCAAAAACATCGTACCACCCACCTACGAGTAGAATCGGAATATTCGCCCGCTCCAGCGCCTGCTCAAAGTTCATCTTCTCGTAAAATGGATCCCTCGTGTCGATATCCGGATGGTCAGCCACGTACTCCATCCACGGCGCCTGACCATCGAAATAGTGCTTGATGCTTTTCGCAAGATCCGGTCCACGCATCATAGGCTGCATTCTTTTCATCGTGCTCCATCTCCTTCTCATGTTGTCAATCCCTGTTTCTTCCTGATGCAAGACATTATCCGCCCAAGCCACCCATTCCAGCGCAAGCGACCCTGTACCCCATAACTGCTGGCCAAAGATATGAGGTGCGCAATGTATCACTGCAGCTACCATGTCGCTTGGTGGATCCTTCAAAAGAGCCCACTGCACATAACCTAGGTAGGAGCCTCCTAGTGTCGCAAAGGATCCGGTATACCAACTTTGCTGTCGCATCCACTCTACCACTGCTTTCCCGTCTTCCTCTTCATTCTGCCAGGGTACGAACTTGCCTCCTGAACCAAAGGTACCTCGGCAGCTCACAAAGAGGCAATTGTAGCCTCGTGCTGCGTAGGGCCGCACACCGAGCAATGCGAAGAGAAGGCTGCGCCCGTATGGACAGCAGATTAGAATGGTACTTGTGGCCTTTTGATCTTGAGCGAGAAGAGGTTGATAGATGTCTGCTGCGAGCTTAAATGTCTCGGTCGATGTGGACACTGGAATGTGCGTAGGGGTCATTGTATACGAGCATGTTTCCCGAGGTAATCCTAGTTGTCGCGCGACGAGACGGTCGAGGAGAGTGGCTACTAAGCCGCGTTTTTTCGCCATAGTAAGGTAGAGTGAGGGAAAAGAACCCGTGTGAATGAATGTGCTTCGGTGGAGCGCATTCTATGATTCTCGTCTGACTGGCGATGAGTACAGCATAGCATCCGAACAGCACCATCCGTCCAATCCGGGCGGCCCGGCCTGGTTCGAAAGAGTGACACGATAGATACGAAGTCCAACATGTTACTGTGATAAGCGAAGTTATTCTTTCGGTCTCGGTTTCGCACTCGCTGTGAACGAATCAGGTCGATCCTTGGCTCCGAGAATCCCAGGCATAGCGCTGTAAGCAGGCAACCTGTGTCGTGGCAGCCTTTCCTCATTTGTTCACCATGCTCTTGTCGATCTATTGCGCAGAGCGAAGCGGACCGAGCCGTAAGATCGTTATGGCTTCGACTATAGCGCAGGTACCTTTTTACGGTATCGAGATCTCCAATCTGGGGGCTCCTCTTATGTTCCTTAGTCGGTTTGAGTTAGAGACAATTTCAGGGTCCAATATCCACCACCAGTCTTTGAAGACGGCTTGTCCGACTTCCCAACCTTTTACATCAATTCCCTGTTCATTCGCATCAGATACAACACGAAGTCCCTCCGACTCGTCATCGATACTATACAACAGCCGCATGATGGCCATGGAACCTCTCGCGATGGGCGGTCTGAGCTGATCAGGCTGGCTGAAAAGACAGATAAGCTTTGTCCTGACAGATGGCCAAGGAAGAACATCTATCATCGGATTGTGTGGCAATAGGAGCTGTGCTTCCGTTGGGCGTAAGTTCTCGGGCAGATCTTCTAAAGGGACAGAAAGTTTCGACACGTCTAGAACCCGTTTTATGGTGAGATCCAAAAGCTCATCTCCAAGACCAAGCATCTGTGCAATACGTAAAGAGATCTCCATAGTTTTGAGGCCTGGGATGTCGATGATGTGATCTGATGGGAAGGTGAACTGGGAAGTTTCGAGATCTTGGAGTTCTGCTGATACTTGTGAATCAAGTGTTGAAGTATCGCTCTGAGCACCACTCGCTGTAGACCAAGTCAGTAGACACAATTATAGCAGGAAGCATAACTGCAAACTAGCTAGGGCATACCATAAGTTAGACCAGGGCTGATCCCGAACTGATCGCCTACAAATGACGACGAGATTGCCGATGTGTTGAAGGTCATATCATACTGTGCAAGGCTCATAAAAGACGGATCGACTGCTGTATTTCCGAAATCCTGGAACGGATCGTAAAGAGGATTGTTACCAAGTTTGACGGTGCCGCATGGTTCCGGTGCTGGAGGCTTTGTCGAGTGCTGAAGTTGTCCCTCTCTATTCAGACCATGTGCTACGTTCGTACTGCTAGCTTGAAGTATCGTTTCCAAGGATCGCAATCGCTCTCGCTTACGTTGACCTGGACAGGGTAAGGATCAGATAGGAAGTAATATGCGTGGACATCTTACGGTATCTTCGTTGGGCGAGCACGTTGAGAACTCGCTTGCGATCCGGACCCTGCGGAACGGGGACATCCTGAGACGACATTATGTTTCCCGTTATGCTGGAGCTGAATACACGAGATTCAGATGCGTGTGGAAGGATGATCACGCAGGGTGGTGGAGGAGAGGCTGGGTCCAAGTTTTGGCCCCGCTCTAATCAGGGACGCCTTACCCTTTTCGTCTTGAGCATAACGTTATGGTGGCGGCTTGGCATACAAGCAGTACGTGCATCAGGTAACAGTAATCGAACAGGCCAATTTATAAAAGCGACTTGGTGAGTTTGAATTTGACATACCATCACATCTTTTCACTCACCTTTAGAGTCTCTACCCAAACTCAAAAACTCAAAAACTTGATCGCCAAAACATGTCACCTCATACACCCTCGCTCCAAGGAGCCGATCCTTCCACTTCAGGCAACGTCATTCGCAGCGCTTTTGCTTTCGAATCCGCTATCACAGTCGCTGCCGGCTCTTACTTTCTGTTCTTTCCGCGTCATTACCTGGGTCGAATGTTGGGTACTGCTGCTACTCAAATAACGACAACAGCAGTACAAATGACTCAGCAATATGGTGCTGCCAACATTTTCGTTGGCGGCGCAGTCGGCCTCTACGTGTCCAACAGCAGAGCTGCAGTCGAATCGCGCAAGACGGTGTATCGATACATACTAGGCTGGGAATTGTTGTTCGTGCCAGTCGTGGTATGCCAAGCGCTCATGATGGAGGGAGGCATCCCGAAGAGCTCGTTGCTAGCCACAGCCGGGCAGTTCGTGCCATTCATAGCATGGAGGGCTTTTGCACTTCTCTGCAAGCCTGAGTGGTTTGAAAGTTATCAAGACAGGAAGAAGGCGGAGTAGGAGAGCTAAGTTGAAGAGATTGTGTAAACAAGTGTGGAGGAATTATTGGGTGGAGTATACTTATAGTATTATTAATGTCCTTCTCTACTCATCCATTCCATCAGAACTTTTGTCAACTAGCATCATAGTCTCCTAGAATCTTGTTCGAGACAATCACCGTACTAACCAATATGGCTATTCTTGACCTTTGCATTCTATTCCCTCATTTTTCCAAGGTTGCCTTTATCTCTCTCGGCTTTTGTATCGCATCGCTATTGGCAGAGCGCCAGGCCCTCTATTCCTTAAGAGCTTGTTCTGACTTCTTAAGGTCTTATTCTACCTTCTTATTGCTCATCTTCTCATCATAGAGATCAGCATCGAGGCGTTCCTCCTTGGCAGTCGACGATTTGAGCTTGGCGGCCAGCGTTTTGACCTCTGCGGTCAGTGCTTCTTCTACTTTCTTGTTCCTCATCTTCTCATTACAAAGATCTCCCACCAAGGTTTTCTTATCGGCGGCCGCCGTTTTGAGCTTAGCAGCTAGCGTCTTGATCTCGGCAGCCTGTGCATCGGCCTCCGCAGTCAGCGTAGCCCTCATTGTAGCTCGATCGTTGTCAAGAACTTCTAGTTGTTGTAGTAGTTCAAACTGCAGCGCGCTAGTAGCTTCCTGAATGCGCGACCTTACGTTTCGCATCTAATTAGGGTTAGTTGACGTAGTCACCTCGTGCGGCATGTGTGGGCGACTTACATGGTCGGGTTCTTGTAGCATACCGCGAGCGGCCTGTACGCCATCTTGCGGTGGCTGATTAGCCCGGGTTGTCTGATGCGTAGGTGGAAGAATGGGTGGCGCCATGATTGTAGGGGGTTGTCTTTTAATATGTTGTTGGATAGTCAATACAAAGTGTTGATGGAAGTCAGAGAAGTGTTGAAAGAAATGGAAGAGAGATGGAAGAGATAGGTAGCAGAAAGGTATTATCTATGCTATGAAAGCGGCATCGGAACAGGTGTGAGAGAAAGAGGTGAGGTTGTAGAGCTAGCAAACGTAGCCTCACCGTATCGGACTATAGGTAAAAGAGCAATGGACGAACCAGGGCAATTCAGAGCGTTTGCACGCAGAAAGCTCAAGCAGTATCATGACCTACTATGAAGAATGCAGTCGTTGCTATCAGAGGTAATAGAGACAATCACCTCAGCCCATCCATCTCCAAGCTGACATTATCCGCTCTTGAACCATATACACCCCCATCCAAGATCCACTGCTCATTATCATCGTTATCATCCTGCACCCTCCGCCACGTCTGCTTCCTCTCACCCCCAGCCTCCTTCCCTTTACTCTCCTTACCCTCTTCAACCCTGAACGTCGGCCTAATCAACCCCCCGAGTAACGGATTCCTACTAAACGCCCCACCTCCACTACTCAACCCATTCCCTTCTCTCAGGCGCTGCTGCACCTCCTCAACGGGCTCCTCCTCACTCTCCGGCGTGACAGGCCGTTCCGCCGCCGCCATCCGCCTAACCAATTTCTTGCCACTCAAATCAATACTAGCCACAACCTTCCTCTTCTCGTACTCTGGTCTCGCATTCCAATCCTGCTCTCGCAGCGCCTTCTGTTGCCGCTTGAGCTGCATAGCGCGTTCCTGAGGACTAGCCCACATGCTCAGTCCAGCGGTCGTCGTTTCAAAATCCGCAGCTTCGTCGTGGACCTGCGTTCGCTTGGCATTCTGTGCTTGGAAAGCGAGAAGTTTGTCTCTGTGCTGTTTCGCTCGAACTAGTTTCTCGTTCTCGGATTCGACGTCCGAGGCAGGGTTTGAGGATACAGGGGTATTTGAGGACCTAGGGGTGGAGAAGGGGCGGGGAGCAAGGGAAACGTCTGCGCGCTTTTGAGTAGCGTTGTTGGCGGCCATTTTCTCTTTTCCGCGTTCTTCGCGGAGGACGCGTACCATGGATTGGATGTCTTGGGCGCTGAAGAGGGCGGAGTTGCAGAATGTGCATGGGCCGATGCCTTCTTTTACGCATATGATTTTCCCGCAATTGAGGCAGTTTGGTGCGGCCTCGAGCAATGGATGTCTGGTAGCCATGCAGTTGCATTTCCGCTTACTGTTGTCTTGTGAGGCAAGGGTGGGGTTCGTTTGGATTTCGAGCGCCCTGATTGCAGATTCTAGATCATTGAGTGCCGTAGAAGCACCGTGCATAGGCGTTCCGCCGGTAACATTGACCTTTGCCTTGGCTTTTGGTTTCGTGTCAGAGATCAGCTGGCCCGGAAGTTTCTTCGACGCTGGCGGAGCAGGTGAGACAGCACGAGATTTGGGAGTTGACGTCCCCGATGACGTAGTGGTATTGAAGGTCGGTAACTGCAACCCATCAGGTTGTTCCAAGCTGAATTTGGCAGCTTTTGACTTTGAGCTACCGGCCATGTAGTCTTCTTCATCTTTCTTGAGATATGCACCCGCCACGTTTCCATAGTTCTCTGGCTGGCGTGGTGGCGGGAGTTTGTTCAAAGCGGGCTTCTTCTTCTTTGGCTTGGCCCGCGGCACTTCTGAGATATCATTTGATGACTGAACCGGGGCAGAACTAGCGGAAGCTTTCGGTTTTCTCCGGTTATTGAACGAAGTGATAAACTCGAGTGCTTGTGGGCTGTCCCCCAGAAGGTTCTGCAGATGTTCCGCCGAGTCTTTAGGCGATAGCGATTCTGTATACGATATTATCTGCTTCAGCGACTCGTCGTCAAGAGGCAGAAGCTTTGATAGCTGCGGTAATGCCCAGGTTGAAAGATCCATATCTTGTTGTTGGGGTTATGATTATGATTCCCGGAGGTCAGAACAGTCGGTTGGTTGTGATTCATCACTCAGCGCTAGTGATGGTGGCACAGGCATGTGTGGCTGGTGGGACGGGCCGTGCTCCAGTTCACATGGAATTCGTAGCTGGCAGGGAGCTGCCATCACAGTCCTCACACTCTCTCCCCCACATTCACCATGGCCACCGACGTCGCACTTGATACCACTATCGTATGTCTACCTGCTTGTGCTACAGACAATCCTGTTAACCAGAGCAGGGCACCATCGTCGTCGAACTCTACCACGACCATGCGCCCAAGACATGCAAAAACTTCTCCACGCTCGCGCAGCGCAACTACTTCAACGGCTTGATCTTCCACCGCATAATTCCAAACTTCATGATACAAGGAGGCGATCCCACGGGCACCGGTCGAGGCGGTGAATCCATCTACGGCGAAAAGTTCGAAGACGAAATCACCCCTCAGCTCAAGCACACGGGCGCAGGCATTCTCAGCATGGCCAATTCCGGGCCTAATACCAATGGCTCGCAGTTCTTCATCACACTGGCGCCGACTCCGTGGTTGGACGGAAAGCATACCATATTCGGAAGGGTCAAGAGCGGGATGCAGATCGTGAAGAAGCTGGGGTTGGTCAAGACAGACAAGGAAGATCGCCCTGTCGAGGAGGTCAAGATCATCAAGGCATATCTGGTTGACGACGGAGCCTTTGCGATGCAGCGGTACTAGCATGTGGTGGGAACAGACACAGCATGCGCATTGAATAAATACTCATACATCCTACTAGTTCAACGCTCCATTCGGATGGATCAACACCTTCGTATACCCCTCGATCCTCTTATCAAACTTCTCGTACGCCGTCGGCGCCTCGTCGATGTTAATCTCGTGCGACACAACGAAACTCGGCTTGGCCTTGCCCGATACGATCATGTCGCGCAAATACCTGTTGTACGCCTTCACATTGCACTGCCCAGTGCCGAGGTGCAGTCCCTGAGATTGTTAACAATGGGCGTCCAGCCACAAGACACGGACAGGCATACCTTTTCGAACAGCTTGCCGAATGAGATCAGAATCTGGCCTTTCTTGCTCTGTTCGTCGGGCGCGCCTGGGTCGGCTGGCACATACAAACCTGGAATACCCAAGCCACCCGTTGGTCGCGTCACCATGATTAGCTGGTCCAGCACGATGTTTGGCTTCTCTTTGCTGCCTGATGCGTCCACAGCCTGGTACCCGACCGCGTCGACTGCGCGATCTACCATACCGTCGTTGAGCTTGATGATCTGTTCAACGGGATCGCTCTTCTTAAAGTCAATGGGAATGCATCCAATCTTTTCTGCAGCTGCCAGCCGTTCAGGCACTGTGTCGACTACAAAGACCTTGCTCGCGCCTCGCAGGATCCCGCTATACGCTGCCATCAGGCCGACAGGACCTGCGCCGAACACCGCCACGCTTTCACCGGACTGGAATCCGGCGAGCACGAGTCCATGCCATCCTGTTGGGAATATGTCTGCGAGTAGTATAAAGTCGGCTTCGTGCTCGGTGCCTTTGGGTAACTTCAATGCGTTGAAGTCGGCAAATGGGACGCGGAGGTATTGCGCTTGGCCGCCTTGATACGGGCCCATGGCTACATAGCCGTAGGCTCCACCGGCAAAGCCCGGGTTCACTCTATCCACATATTAGGACTTCCTCGTTCACCCCCTGCTGCAGAAAAGCCCGACTTACCCAGTACAGAAAGCCGTTTTGCCTTCTTCGCAGTTGCGACACCTACCATCGGCGACGTTCTTCGCACCATCATATCAGCATTTGCACTCTTACACATGCGCGTCCCGGAGCACGTATACTCACAAATGGCAACACGATCCTATCACCCTTCTCCAATAGTGTCACACCCGATCCGACTTCGATAATGGTACCCATATTCTCATGACCGAACACGAGACCGGCTTCCGCTGCCGTGCGCCCTTGGTACATGTGTAGATCTGAACCGCAGATAGCTGCCGTTGTGACCTTGACAATCACATCGTCGGGGTGCTGGATCTTGGGCAGCTCGACGTCCTTGACCGAGACCTTGAATGGTCCTTCGTAATGCACCGCCTTCATCTTCTCGCCGGACATGTCTGGATGATATTATGCGCGTCGTGTTCAAGACCAAAGAATCGGGAGCCTGTTGCGACAGGAATCGGTGTACGTGTGTTCTGTTGCAAAGAGAAGGGGATTGGATTGCGCGTCAAAGCCTTGTTGTACGAGAGCCGGGTCGGATTGGACCCAATGTATGACGACCCCTCATCTCTCGGTACTTGCAGCAGTTGGGACAAGAGCGTCATTATTGAGGGGCTGGCAGCGGATGCTGGCCGATCCCGTGTGGGGTACCTGTTCCGAATCGGAAGATGCTTCGGAAAACTAGCGCATGGAAATAAATGGATATCGAACAGCGGAGGTTAATCATTACCACACGTGATACTAGTGGTATGGAACCTCGAATAGCATACTCCTTCGTATGTGGTATCAACCGCGATTGGAGGGCAAAATCCCTTTTAGCCTTGGCAATATGACAAATGACGTTCAAGGAAGTGTTATGTCATAGAAGCTTGATCTTGCGACAACAACGAAAGAAAAAGATGGTGGTTTCTGCTGCTCGATGATACAAACCTCGAAGAAGTTTGTAAGCCGTCAATCGAGATACTTGCAGAGTATACAAAGCGCCCTTATCCCTTTATCCCCCTCCATATCCAATAACATCAGACATGAACAATAACTCAATTCAACTCCTTCAACTCCTCCTCAACCTTCTCCCAAGCCGCCGGACTCATAGTCAAAGTGAGCCAATAACCCCCACCATAATCCCTCCCCAGTATATGCACCAGCAACCTCGCCGTGGGATTCGGTCTCCTGCTCGACGCATGATGAAACACTGGTGTGCCAGGTGGATTGCACCTTCCCTCCGTACCACCACCATCACCACCATCACCACCACCCGCCCGTACCACAGCGGGAGAAAAGTCAATAGCAGAAGTAAAAAACTTGGCCTTTGTCCAATCCGTAAACGGCACCAACAACGCGTCCGCATCGCTATAAAGCAGCGTACTCGGATCCCCACTCACCCTCTGTTCACGCAGACTGGCCAGAACTTGGGCTTCTGTGGCCTGTTCTAGGAGCTTGTGTCTGTTATGCAGGGCCATGGGACCGAGTGGGCCGGTAGACATGGCGGGGTCTAGAAAAGTGAAGCCGGGGACTAGCATATTGGAGACATGTACACCTTTTGCATTGATTAGGGATGGGAGGCGGAATCGGGCGTTCATAGCGTGGAGGGCGGTCAAGGGGCGCGGGGCGGGGAGTGAGGAGGCGATACAGTGTAAGGTGAATGCAGTGAGGATATCGCCGTCGCTGATAAAAGGCATCTTGTTCTCTCCTTGCTCTGCTGTGGTGGCTCCGATGTGGAAGTTAGTCAGATCAGCCTCTGCTCTTGCTCTCAACGTCGTCACAACGCGCTTGGGTACATGTATTGTTTGCGTCAAGGGTTTCGCCCCCGTCAACATATCCCACGCAAACCTGGCTCCAAACTTGACAAAAGCGAGGCCCTTTAGCTGCTTGGACTTTAGCACGTATTCTTCCTGTGGTGCGCTGGTAGCGTCGTCGGTCAACGCTAGTAATACGTCTTCCTGCGCACCAAGTACAGGCGGTACTTCGGTCGCTCGGCCGGCTAATACGCTCGACCATGCTGAGAGAAAAGCTGCCTGGCCCATGACATCCATGAGCGTGTGCGGCCATGATAAACCTACGAGCGTAGCGTCGTTGAAGGATGTGATATGTACTGATATCTGGGGTGTGTCTCCAGCAAGCAGGTCCTCGATGGTCATGGGTGCAGAGGGTGATGTCGCGAGGTCGTTGAAGTCTGTTGGCCCGGGGCATGTTGAAATGGTTCCGGTGGGCTTAATAGGTAGTTTCTTGGCTAGTTCGTGTTGTTGGATGGAGGATTCGATAGTAGTGTGGGTGTAAGTGAAGGCAGGGCGCAAAGGAGTGAAGGTGGGTGGGACATGAATTTCTAGTCTGCCATCGTCCTAATTCCTAATCGTCAATCTGTTTGCTCGAGTACAATGGAAGCAGAGTGAGTTGAAATTACTTACTTTGAGTCGTAATCGGCCTCCCAGTTTTCGCCAATCTCCTGTTTCCAAGAGGTTGGCTAGCGAGGATCGGAGCTTGTCTGCGTTCAGGACGTCGTTGAAAACTAGCGTCCATGTGATCAGGATGCTACGAAAAGTTTTCGTATCATCTAGGATATGAACTGGATAGATAATGTCATCGGCATATGGATCTGGCGCATCATCTGCTGGGCTTGTTTGCCTCTTAAATCGGTCTAGGAAATTCATGTTCAAGACGCCAAGATACGAACAACTTCGGCGATGGAAAAAGCGAGATACATTCGCTACCTGCTCAAATATATATGCTTTAACCACCGTATGTTCGTATACCGTTTTCGCATTCGGCCTACGGATCCTGTGGTGGCCGGACAATGTTCTTATCGCGGTGTCGGAAAAAGGGGCTCGCTAACTAGTAACATCGGCGCTTTACCCCAGATTTTCTGTATCAAGTAAAACTATTCGCACAGACCTATACGACATGCAACCGGCTGACAGGTACTAGTTGTGTGTTAATGATCTGCAGAGATCGCCTGTGAAAACCATGCGTCGACCTCGTCGCCTCCGGTAGTTTCTTCGCTCGTCACAAAATCATCATCCTCTACAGGAACACTGCGTTCTCGCGACGCCAGTCTCTTCGCGACTTCATTAGCTTCGACCAGACTAACAAGCTTCCTCTTCTGTCCATGATTTTTCTTCGAAAACTCCCTGCAGACCTGTAACACCTTCTCCTCGCCAGAGCGGATGTCTTCGGGCTCTTCTACAAAGGTCTTTGAATCGCGCTTGAGAACGCTGATCTTCGGTTGTTCGTGACCACGACGACGCCCTCCCCGACGGTAGTAAGAGTGGCTGGAACCCGACAGAGACGGAGGGTTGCTGAACACATCGTTGGCTAGATACGCATCCTCGGCCACCTCGAAGGGCGTGCGCCCTGATGCATTCTCGCGGAAAAGAAGGTCGGGACGGTTTTCGAGCATGATTCGTAGGAGTGCGTCATCACCGCGTCGCACTACAGTGTGCATGGGCGTATCACCTTCGCCGTTGACGACACTCAGGTCATCGCCCTTGCTGAACTCGAGTATGATCTTGAGAACTTCTTCGTTATACGGCACAGTCACGCTGCCAACGGAAGAAGCGGAATGCAGCCAGCGCGCAAGGGGTGTAGCGGCACCAGGCATGTCCGTCGTGCGCTCGGAGAACAAGCTAGAGAAGAGGCGAGGATCGATGAGACCGAGCAACTCCTTGACTTTTTCCAAGCCTTTGTTCTGCCGGTCAATGTTGTTGAAGATAGAGTGGACAATATTCGCCCTAGTATTGTCGCGTGTAGTCTGGTCAGCGCCAGCTTCCAGAAGAATCTTAACCATCTCAACACGATGCAGGGCGAAAGCAAGCTGCAAAGGCGTCATACCGCTCGCAGAACGGTGCTCAAGGGCCTTAGGATGGGTGTTACATAGATATCGGAGGAGAGCCAGAGAGTCCGCATTTGTCCTACCAAGAACCACTGAGTGAAGCAGCAGGTGCGAGCGTAGGTCGAGCCACTTAGCAATAGACGACTGCAAGCCGCGCTCAGTCTTCGCCAAGTTCTGGATGCGGATATCGTCCCGATGCGTATCTACAAATTCTGTGTAACAGCGCAAGGCTGTATCGCTTACGAACCACTCGACACTCTCCATGCTTTCGTACCAAGCAGCATACAACAAGGGCGGGTGCTGCGCCCCAACTGCTTCAGACCGAACCTCTCTTCCTTCATTCGCCCAATCCGCTCGCTTCTTCCCGTGAACCGACAAGCCTTGATAGTACTTTGGTTTCACAGGAATCTCGATACCACTCTTTTTTACAAGATCGTCCAGGGGAATTCCTGCTCCAGTGCTCTTGATAATGATTTCCAGTGCGCGGGTACGGCCGAGACGGATCGCGTACAGGAAATCTGCTTCATTGAAACGGAAGAATTTAGGATCGTTTTCCTCATCAGCTTCGATACTGTGTTGCGTGTACTCCTCAGCCCTAGCAATCAAGAATTGCAGTAAATTGGCATCGTCTAGGTAGATTGCGAATTGGAAAAGATTTTCAGGCCGCTCGACTGTGGAAATCTCTTGCTGACCCGTTCGCGACGCGTCGTACGTACGACCACTTGCCTGAGATCTGCCCAGATGCTGTCTTTTGTTGGAGAGTCCTGAAGGAGTAAGCCATGTAGATGTCGACGTATCATCGTGGCTGAGGAAACCAGACACGGGGTAATGCCACGACAACAGTTGTACTGGCCGCACGTTGCTTTTGACCTGGTTCTGCACCTCTCCGATATTCTCGATAGTGAAGCGATCGTCCACTATCTCAGCATATATCTGGAAATCGTTGTCGTCGTCATCACAGCTATCGTCGTCTTCGTCTCTTGGCTGTAGGCTGTGCTTGACCATTGGCTTCTCTTCAGGCGCATATTGCGCATGCGCGATTTCGAGAATGGCTCGAGCAATTCCATAATGTTTTCGCAGAATCGCAATTGAGAATGGCGAGAAGTTCTGCGAGTCCGTGACAGCGACTTTCAAAGGACTCTGGTTCTCACTCCAGACTGTTAGAGTGAGTTCCTTGATTGTAAGAAGATCGGCATTCCAGCAAGCCTGGAAAAGCCTGAGGTAAGCGTCCCGTCGCTCGTTAGTCAAATCCGAAAGCCTGAAGGTCAGAAACGGACTCCATGGCTTTGGTGGATCTTCGTTGCGACTTCTTCCATAGTCGTACTGGTTTGGTCGAGGTACGTCAAGCTCGATATCCGGGTGGAGTTCTTTGAAGGTCTTCGCGTTTCGTTTCAATAGTTCGGTTTCTAAAGCCTGGAAATCATTCAGTACCAATTGAACAGCTACTTTCTTCTCATCCGTCCCTGGAGGTTCTTGTTCAGATTTTTTCCACTCCTCATGAGCTTTCAGGTCTTTTTCATAAGTCTGCTTTGCAGTTTCGATTTGATTTCTGACCATCCAGTGATCGTAAGTGCCAGGTTCCAACTCTTGGAGATATTCGGCGTCTTCCTTTAGAGGTATTGGTGCAAATCGATTTCCACCTCCGTAGTAGTAACGGAATTGGTCAACCCAGCCATCAGAGTACAGCCATCCGTCCTTACCATCGACTTTCCCTAGCTCGATGAAGGTGCGCAGCTTCCTCATGGTAGTACGAACAATATCCAAAAGAGTGCCCGTATCGTTGTCGTGGTAGTTGTTGTTCTTATTCAAAGCGCTCCAAGCTTTGGGGGTGAGGCTGTTTATGTCTGCTCCAGCATCCAAAAGCTTGAGTACGATCGATGTTACCTCGGAACGGACTGCAGCAAGTACGGGCTGCTCGACGTTTTCTCTGAATTGGTTTTGGTTGCGTTCCGTATCGTCGCCCATGCGGCCCCATTTGCTCTTCGCAGAAGCAATGTAGGTAGCGAAATCAATCTCAGGCTTCGCCCCGAGTTCCAGCAGGGCTTCGACACCAGCGGCATCACCGTGTTCGATGGCTATTTTCAGAGCACTACTCGCCTGTGGACTGTACTGATAGCCGTTCATTACGAGGTGGTTGGTAGCTTGTTGTGACGCAGGCCGGTTCGCCAATATCATGGTTTTGAGCAGACTAACGCCATGCGCAGCAAAGTAGTGCAATGCCGTAACATGGTTGAGGTCGCCTTGAGCTGGTGATGCACCCAAACTAATGAGCAACTCGGTCATTTCCTCGGCTTCACCGGGCGAAAGCTGTAATGCGAGAACCAACGGCAGGATTGCCGCACGTGGAGACTTGTTGTGGTCGTGCACTAGCTTGATTGGCAGCAATACATCAGCCCCAAACTCCTGGACAAGAGTCTTCACAACTTCTGTGTGGCCATTGGCAATAGCTAGATGAAGCGCAGATACTGGTGCGTCCCAGGCGACTACATCGACGTCGTATACATCAGGTTCGTCATCGTTCGCATCGTCTGGGAGGTCGTCATGATCTCGCGACTTCTTACGATCAATCTTGATCACAGAGCCCTCAGTAGTGGCATCGGCGTTGTCAGACTCATCGTCTTCGTCAAGCATGTCGATGTCTTCGTCTTGGCCGTCGTCTTCGCTCATCTGCTGATCGGAGTCGTCGACATTTTCATCACTAGGGATTGCCGGCTGGGCCTGGTTGCGCTTCTTGATAGCTTCTTTCTCCGCTTCCAGCGCTTCGTTAGCCTCACTCCTGAAAAGCAGAGCTCTGACCATCTCGACTTCACCGCGCATAGCGGCAAGGTGGAGGGCGGTCTTGCCGTCAAAGAGGCGAGCGACAATGCGAGCTCCTGCATCGATAAGTGCTTGGACGACCTGTGGAGTTGAGGTTGCGACTGCTAGTTGGAGTGGAGTACGCCCGGTATAGTCTCGTCGATTGGGATCTGCATCCTCTTGGCTTAGCCAGTCCTGCACATGTTCAACGTCTCCTTCAACGATAGCCTGGCATAGTCGTGCAGTGTTCCCAACGTAAGCCATCTCGGTCCAGTCATCATCGGTGAGTGGGTGGAAAGAGCCGATTGCTTGCCGTCCAGGGTTGTCCTTGATGAAAGACAAAGTGCCCGACACGTAGATCTTGCCTTCTTCTTCTGCGATCTCTTGATCCTCGGGTGTGGTAGGCTCAGGGCAATAGCCACAGCAATCCTCTATCACGTCGGTTGCATTGCCAAAGAAAGCAGGGTGTCGGTGCAGAGTAGTCTCCCGCTCCTTGGGTCGATTCCACTCAGCATTGAGTAGCAAGTCCTTCGCGTACAACAGCCTCTCAATCTTCCGAGCGTGGAACTTTGGTCCGTATGGAACGGTGAAGGTGTGGTAGTCGCTAATCTCGTCAGTTTCAACCCATTCAGCAACATCTTCATCGTGCTGTTGCTTGATATCGCCCCTCAACTTCTGTCTTGCCCACCGGTTGATGGCTGGTCTACCACGTTCTGCACGGCGCTGGTCAACATAGGCGTCACGGTCGGTGCTTTTCGGCAATTTCTCAAGGACTAGTAACCTCGCCAGTCCAAGAGTACGACCAAACGAGCGCTCAAACAGCGTAGGGTCGATGCGCGAACGATCAAGGAGCGGCCAGTATACTTCGAATCCCCGGCGTGCATACTTGGATAGGCGGTTCTCGTACGAAGGTGAGCGACGCGTCAAGTCGATGGTGTTGATCTGGGTCATGTATGCAGCGAGCGCGCGGGGACTAGCGTAGACTTGCTTGCCATCATATGCGGCACAGGAGCAATCCACATCAAAGCCTGTAAGGATCTCGGAGATGGATCTGTAAATACGCAGGACGATCTGAACGTGTCTAGTCGGATACTGTGACGCGATAGTGATGGCGTTCTTCGTTCGGACGGTAGTAGTCTCAGTCAAGATAGAATCCTTGATGCGTTGTTCAATCTGCTTGATCTTCTCGATAGCCTGCTCTTCGGTGAGGCCGTAGAGAAAGAGGTCGACGTCGGAGGCTGGCGCTAGTTGTTGATGATAGTACTCGCGCAGAGCGCGCTTTGAGCTATTGTATTTCTCGGGTACAGGTAGCAACGAGGTTACGACGGCGCTACCCGCGACCACCACATTGGACCAGTCCATGTCCACAAGAGATGATTCTGAAAATAGCTGAAAGTTGGTTCTGAACTCATCAAGCGATTGCACGACGGCTGGAGAGCCAGACGGCTTGCGATCTGCCTTGTCAAGAGGCATAAGGTAGCGTTGACGTTCGGCCTCGGGCTCATCGGCAAGGTTGCGAGCGCGTATCTTGAGCTCATGCTCGCGACCTGCAAATATTGGAACAACATTGGGCGTCCCAATAGCAGTATAATCGGGTTGCTGGGCGAATATCTCACGTAGCTTGGAATCGTATGCCTTATATGGTTCGACGAGGTCACACATCGGTGCCTTTGGATGGGCAGCGGCATGTGCAATCCAGTCGTCATGGCTGACTGGGACCGAAGGGAGCTCCATCAATGTCAACGGCTGGTCTTGCGTAGCCATAGCTGAGAGAGAGACTTGTGGAATGGTAGAAAGCGTACTTCTTGCGGTGAAGTTGGTTTGTTGAATGAATTGAGCAAGGAAACAGCAAAGACGAAACAGCCGTACGTTATATATTGGCATCATCAGTAGAACACCTTTCGCATGTTACCTGGATACGCAGTGGCAGCCTGTGCCATGATGAATGGGAGGCTGCGAAGCTGATGGCGCGTTGATCTAAAAGAGGGGTGAGGCTAGGCAGCGACGCGCCGTGCCAACTCCTTCCAGCAGGGAAGACGTGCTAGATGCCATTGCAGCCTAACGATACAGGCAGCATCCAATCATCGATAGCAGCGTAGATCAGACAGGACACGAACCCGACGCGGGCTCATGTGATGCGTGACGAAATGACGCGACGAACGAACGAGTATGAAGGGCAAATCTCAAAGGTTGACAGAGTCGCACTTGCACAAAAGAAGACTAGTGGCGAAAATGGCTTGGCACCTTCCATCACAGTCAGCGCCATCGACCGTCCATTTCTCAATATATTCTGCATCGCCGTCCTACATCATCATCGCCAACACAGTCATCATCTGAGATGTATCGAATTATACAGCATATCTCACGTCCTCTGACTCCTCGCGATATAGACCGCCTGGCTGCAGATCCGGATGAAGAATGCGACCACGATAAGTCGCACACAACTGTACCACGTCTCCAGAAGATCTTCGCACTTCCTACTCCCTGATCGGCGAGTATAGAGAAATCTGCCCAGCAAAAAACATGATGATCGCAAGACTCGCGATGACCGTGAACACAATAGCAACCTATTGTTGAGTAAGCGTCGAATCTCCGAAGAGCCTCATCCATCGGAACCATACCTTGTTTTGGTCATCCCATTTCGTAAGGTCTCCCAAGTGCGATGTTGCACTCCACACCAGCAAGAACATACCCATAACCATGCAAATCGTCCCGGTGATGAGAAACATGACTGGCATCTGCCAGGTCATAATTTGGAAGTAGCTAGGTGCACGGCGCCCTGTCTTTTTCCTCCTACTCCCCTTGCTAAGGAGCTTATGGATATTGGCCAGTCCATCGCGGTGAGATGATAGCCGGTGTAGACGTACTGTTTGGTCTGCGGCACTGATGATAGAAAGCAGAGAGATGACAATACCACAGTACCATGCTGTGCGGACGTACCAAGGAGAAGGCTGGCCAGTCGTTAGGATATTAGGCCAGCTGCCTGTTGACGTGAGAACGCCGGCAAGGAGAGCGGACTAGACTGTGGTTAACGCTGTAATACGGACAATATCCGTAGTACATACCACGACGCCAACAAAGTTCAATTCGCTCAGTTTGTTGTCTCGCCATATCTTGACGAGCTCGTCCCTCTCACTTCGGTCATAGGTGTTGAGCAATATCTCAATGGGGTCGTAAGTCGATGGATCGGGAAGGTATATGCCACCGCCGAACATTTGCGGCGCGCAGAAACAGTGGCTTTGCCGCTTTCGTTTGTTGTTCGATGTCTCCAGTTCCAGAGGGGCTTGAGCTTGAGCATGAGCATCGGGTGTTTGTTCATGATTTGCTGCATTCCATTCGACGTCGTTTGGCTCGTGTGAAAGTGCCCGCAACATAATCGAGGGTAAGTAGCCTTTGGTTTTCACTACTGACTGGCGACTTGGGTGTTGATCTACCTTTGCCAATCTACATCGAGCAAGGGATTCAAGAAATTGAGTAAGGAAAGAGCGTTGCCGTATCGCAAGAGTTGGTTGACAGCTATGACGCACGTTGAGCTGGGCACGCTTACGGCTGTAGCCGAACAGCGCCGCAATGCAGCCGAGTCTAGGTGCAGGTAGAAGAAAAAACGGTACGAACACCAGGAGACATGCAACATGCCGAGTTGTGAGAATGCGCAAATGTCAAGTTAAGCTTCGGTTAACATTATGAACCTCGGCTATATATACACTTTGTCTATACTATAGACAGACATGTCCCAGCTTCCTGAAGCAACTCAGTGCATCACCACGGCGACATGGTCGTCCATGTACTTGGAAATATCGCCCAAGAAGCACGCCGCGATGATACTGACTCCTCCAAATGCGATGCTCACATAGTACACGTACTTGTACGCCTCTGCGTACGCGAGCTGACCTGCATAAACAACCATCTCGTACGCACCTGGCACACCCTTGATGCCCGGAAGCTCCTGGAGGGCTGGGAGCAGCGAGGCCCCAGTGATAGTGATTGCCTCTCCGATGATCTCTGGAGATGTAATGTTGAGTTGTGTCACCATCACTCCACCAATGTAGTGAGTCGCGGCTGGGACGAATTTGGCTATAGACGTCAGACGTGCTACGACTTATACTAGCTAACGGAAACTTACAGATGAAGACGTTGTAATAAACACAGTATCCAATCGAACCACCAATGACACGAATGGCGAGAGTGAGAGCTGCGACGGTTGCGATGAGGTCGTCTGGGCAAATGATAGTAGCTAATCAAGTCAGCGAACAGGCCATTGACTGGTGCGATGTCGGACTTACAGATGATGGATGCTGGTACGACAATGCCACCAATTCCAAGACCAGCCAGGACCAGCAATCCCCATAGTGTAGCCAAGTTGTCGACACGCCCAACTGCAAGCGCACCGCAGCCTGCAGTCATCAAAATGGACGAAGCGATCAGAAGCTCTTTGTTGTGACCACGAAGCATGGACAGCAACCACAATACAATACAAGCACCAGCCAGGATCGAAAAGCCAACTGGGAGACCTCGGAGGCCAACACCGACAGGGTCATGCCCATACACATTGAAGGCCTGGGTTGGCCAAAACATGAGAATTGAGAAGAAGTTGGCTCCAGAAATAAACGTGATGACGAGTGTCAAGCCTAGAATGCGAGGCTCCTGGCGAAGTCTCTTTGGGAACATGGGATGTTTCGCGCCGTATGCTTCCCACAAGATAAAGGCAATGATGAAGGCGGCACCTAAGATCAGCGGTGCGAGGACGTGTGCGCTGGACCACTTGTACTGGTAACCACCCCACTGCATTCCCATCATGAACAAGATCATGCCAGCGACAGAGAGAAAACCGCCGACGTAGTCGATTTGTGCAAGAGTCTCCTTGCGGCTCATACCTACGCTGTTAACCCGTGGAGGTGGGTGGTAGAAAACTGCCGTCAAGACGAGACCGATGAAAGCCCACACTCCACACCACAGGCCAATCCAGCGCCATGCACCCGTCGATGTCGAAGCGATGAGCTGAGCCCACAACACTGACGGACAGAACGGGATGATAGTGAAGACAAGTATGGCGACATACTTGCCTCGCTGACTCGTAGGCGCAAGCTCTGATGTGACAGCTAGAGCCGTTAGTTCGTTGATGCCTGCACCGACACCAGAGAACACCATGCCGGCGATGAAGGTGTTCATGGTATGCGCCGTCGAACAAATGATCATGCCTAGGATGAGGAAGGAAGCACCGATCATGGCGACCCATCTTCGGCCGACGATATCTGAGATGGATCCAACGAACGGACAGATTGCAGCGAGGGAGAGAAGATTGGCGAGAACAAACCAGATCCATCTATCGGCACCACCAAGGTCGGCGTAAATGTAAGGAGGAACACCACCGAAGAGATAGACGGGGATCTGGCTGCCTGTCCAGAGAAATGCCATGGCAACTAGTGCCATGATTCGAGTGAAGTTCATGGGGACGTCGGCCTCATGATCGACGCCGTCGCCGGCTGTTCGGAGGCCATCTTTCTCGTAGTAATTGGTATGGCCGGGGACTTGCTCGTTGGTGTGGATTTGCTCGATGTGGTTGAAAGCTGGTTTCGAGGTCGTGGGCGAGTTGTCCGAGACGTCTGTGGTGCTCGTTTAGTACTCGCCCGTGTGTATGGATGCCAAGGGGACAGGTCTGATGGAGTAGGGCCACTTACCGGAACCGTCGCTGTGGTCACGCATCGTGTTTTTCATGCTTGCCTACGATTTGATCTTCGGAGGGGAACGAAAGAACCTGATTACTCTTCAATTTCGAGGCTCGGTGGAGCTCTTATGCAAGGAATGCAAACCAGTCGCGCTTCACTATACCCCAGCAATTACATCCTCGTCGACGTGATACCGCGACTCAGTTTGCGGGGTATCCGTTCTAGTCAACGCGATGGCTTGCATGGCTCCCTTACAATCCTTTGATGGCTCCAAGAACCATGGTCTGGCCACGTCTCCCGCCACTGATACAGTCGAGTGGATTCGTCCTTTTGCTCGCTATTGCTCCACCACTGCGGAAACTCGCGGTACCTTTTGCTCCATGGCCGCGGTACTTTTCCAACTCTCCTAGCTGTCAGTTGCGCCACGTTGCTTGACACCTATCATACCCTACCGTTCCATGGCCATGGGACTCGTGGAACTGGCTAGGGTGGGCGATACACGGACTAGCGCGCATTTACCCCGCATTGCTTGGTCGAGCTTGTCGGAACAAGCAAAGGGGCGGCTAATCAAGCTTTTGGAAAGTGCCGATCAGTGAACCTAGGGATGTCGAAGATTGCGAGTCGATGGAATTGTGATCTTCCAAGACCGTGATCCAATGTGTTGGGACATTGTTCGGGAAGTGAGGTGTTGATGAGTCGAGGATCCGTTGCCTTGGGACTTGCTGTTCTTGCTGTTCGCATGTTCCAAAGGTCCGCCTGTTGTCCTCGGCCCTACTCATGCGGAGGTAAGTCCGCATTGATACTGGGAACATGCCGTGTACATGTGCGCTAACTCCATCGATTCTGCCGCCAATTTCTACGATAGCGGTAATAGGCAACTCGGTCGATGCGCCGAATTTGTGACTGCAGTCGGCTAGCAGCTCTTGTAACTAATGTGCTCGGCTCTTTCTTGATATAGAGGCGAATGACTCAATAAAAACCTCTCCAGATACTCCAATACTCTTATACGGACACAAAGAAGCCCGATATTGCTCACTCTCGAGGTCTTGTCATTCAACTGCGGAGGTACGCACTGTGTCGATTACGTCGAGTATCATTACTCAACAAACATTTCGAGAAGACCTTTCCTCCGTTTAGTGCCGTCTTTCTCCTATTATTGTACTGTGAGCGAAGTTTCAAGATTATCAAGACGGCCCTCAGCCTTCCGAGGTTGACAGTAGGCTGTCTCACGTCGAGTTTGGAAGAACCGGGCAGCTGACGTCATTCCGTCACAGCTCCGCGCGTAAACCCTACCATCCCTCCACCAACCCCACGGATAATGTAAGTACGGCTGATAAAGATGGCCTAATCGGGAAACATGAACATCAACAGCTCGCAGAAAGATATCCGGCATGCTCAGGCGGGAGAGCCTACATATTACTGGTTGCAACAGCCATTGCTACCTCAGTATCGATAGCGATCCGATGCGATCTTATCTTTGCGCCCGGCCTCCTGAGGACTTTCTCCCTATCATTTGACTTTGCAGCCCACTTTTGTCATCACTAAATGATCTGGTGAACTGCGCTTGAGACATCAATTGACTTCGTACACCAGCCTTCAGATTATGGATACCGAGAAAGACTATTGCATCGTCAACAAAGAGCCGCCCGTCACTACCGCCCCTTATCCAGGTTCTATTGAACATGATACCAAGATGTTTATAAAAGGTAACATATACTTCATCTTTTTTTCTCTTCTTCTCCTAGTAGCATTTATTTTACTTGCCGCATTTAACGCACTTCTCCCCGTTAGCACCTTCGCCGCGGTTGATACTCGAACAGTGCGGGCATAGCCATTCGGACATGTGTGGCATTTCCTTTCCTTTTCGCGGATTTATGGCTCGGTAGTGGCGGGCGTGATGAGACGTCGCAAAACAACGAGGATGAGGTAGGTCGATACAAGGATGTGGTCTTAGAGGCTTGTGTCTTTGTAAGATAAGGCAGCGAAATGGCGTGTGAGAAGTTTAAAATATTGTGCATCGATATTCAGGTGTTGAGGTGAAGAAAGTGCACCTGCGGAAAAAGATTGGATGATAGATGGTAATTGTCGTGTTCTGGTACTTGGGGGAAATGTGAAGTCACTCTTTGGAAATTGGTGAGAAGCGATGGAGGGGGTTCTTGTATTTGTTTAAAAACGCACGTGTGAAGTGTTGAGACATTGGTGACCTTGTTTGTAAATGCTGCACCTTGTACACACACCACGATCGGCCCGCAAACCCTAGGAGGCAGAATGCAGTATGGAAGACTCGGCATACTCAAATCAAGCTTCAATACTATAAAAAAATCAGAATCACTTACCCAGTATCTTCCTCGAACACTTCCAACGTATTAGCCGTACATCGCGCTTTCTCAATCTTCCCAGCCTCGCCCTTCAACCCCACCAAAAACGCCATACTCCCTTCCACCGCCAGACTCTCAATCCCAAAACACATGACTGCAACCTCCAACTCCTTCCTCGCGCAACCGACAGCCAAGTCCAGCCGCCCATGTCTCTTCCAACCCAAAGCAGCATCATGATACGCCAGGCCCAGCGCCTCCCCCACCAACCCTTCCTCTTTGAGCAGCCGGATCAGTTCTAACGCGGCCTTCGGCACGGGTGATCTCCACAGCTGGCGCCGTCCTGTCCGGATACGCGCGTCCAGCAACAGCATGCGTGAACGACGGACGTCGCTGCAGCAGGAAGCATCACTGCATGCGGGACAGGCACAAGTGAAGCCGTAGGCGGATAGTTTGGCACGTCGCGAACTGGTGGTTTGGTAGGGGCGCTCGTAACTTAGCTTGATCTGCGTATCGGCTGGTATGGAGACGATGGCGTAGATGGTAATTTGGCCCAGCCGTGCGTTCCACGCAAAACTTGCATTGGGGACGCACGAGTGGTTGAAGCGCGCGGCGAGAGGGCAGATGGATGTGCGAGAGCCGGTTTGCCAGGCGTTGGAATTGAATACGTCGATTACCCTGGCGGCGTCATCATGCTTGGCGTGGCTATTCTGGGCGTAGAGGGTAAGATATTGGAGTTGTTGGGCGCTGTCGAGACTTGCGAATGCTGTTGTGACTGCCGAGTTTGTTCGCGGCTCTGCGACGCTGAATAGGGGGGTTTCGCTGAGGATAAGAGTGCCGGGTTGGATGTCGGTGGTCGCGAAGCAGCCCAAGCCTTCGCCTGGGGAAGGTCGCACCATGTAAACTGTACTCATCGCGGTTTTGGTATTTTACCAGGTGTCTTATGTTGGTTCTCCGGATGTCCAGAGCGCCTCTGTATCCCTCAATCTGTGATTTGAGGCGGAGATTTCGATAATGTAGTTATATTTGCTGCAATAGTGCAGCCTGGTGTTATTAAATGCATTGTATTCGAAATGGATATGCAGAACCTGCAAAGCCGCCTCGCGGTTGGTTGTGGAAGCAAATGGCGACCGAAGGCAACAGTGTTTTGCTGCTTTGTCACCCCGAGCCGTAGCACTCGAGATGCACGCTAGTATGATGACGTCACGCGTTGTATCCGTACCCTTGCTCAGGGTCGAGATGGCTCGGCGGCCCTGCATACAGCTTTCTCGTGATTGTGAAGGAATTGTGATTTTAATTACACATAAAGTCAATTGCGCGTTGGTGTTATTGAAACGCCCGGTATATGCCCAACGCGGCTCCGCGTTGTTTGGGCAGCGCTCATGTCAGATAAGCCGCCACCCTTGCAACCTTCCGCGCACTGCCGTTGCTCATCGTGCCTTCTCACGGCGGAGATTTGAACTTCGCAGCTACGAGTCACTTCCTATCGCGTACTGAATAATAATTTGATCTTCCTTCACCTCCAGTTCAATCTTGCTTTTTCGTTGTTCGTTTTTCCTCGTTTTCCCCATCTTTCCATTGCGCTTTCTTCATCTAACTTCACCGGTTTTGTACCACGCTCTTTTCATTTTCACTCTCTCCTCCCACCCCGCAATGTCGGGTTTTCAGGATATCACTGACGATAATGCCATGAGCAACTTGAACGACATGCCAGCGGAACCTCGCCGCAATCGCTGGGGCGAGGACATCAAACGTGAACGAAGCCGTTCGCCAGAGGCCCCTCGTCGAAATCGTTGGGGTAACGATCGAGGATTCCGGGACGGCTACCCCAATGACCGTAGACGGAACTTCTCCGGATGTGATGACGAGCGTGACCGTTCAAGGGATAGGTCAAGAGACCGCAGGTGCAATCTAAAGTACCGCACGAGGGACCATCGGAGGGACAGTCCACTAGCAAGGGACAGCCGATGCTATCGAAGAAGTAGTTCAAGTGCTGACAGCCGTGGTGGAAGGAATAGCTCCAGAAACGGTGATGGTGATCGATGGTACCGTCCAAGAGATGAAGACGGCGATCGAAGGGACAGCCCAAGAGACGACAGCCGTGATTGGAAGGACCGTGCGACAGACTTCAAACGAGTCCCAGGCTCAAGATACAACAAAGACAACGACCTACACTGGTACCCCGACAAGGGCGACTTCTCCCACCCTACCAAGATGCCTTCTCAGAACCCGCACGACGATAGGCCACGGAACCCAAAACGTACCAAGAGCTGTCGTTCCGAGTCGTCTGAGCACCGTCATATGCGGTTTGAGCACAAACATGAATGTCGGGAAAATGAGCGTGAAGCTTTGCTAAGCGGAAGACTGAGTAAGGCATCCACCTATAGCTGTGCGCTATCTTTCGCGCTCACGCGCCTTTCTTACATGATCCATATACTGATTGTTATGCTTTCTCGTAGCCCCGCCTCCTGGTGCTGGACCCAACTGGGCAAAGAATCGGGTAGCGACTCTAGAAAAGTACGCGAAGAGGACAAAGAGACGACACAAGAAATATGAGAAGCGTATGCGTAAGGCGGTAGAAGCAGGACAGGCTTTATAACAGAGCGAGGAGCGAGATGATGTCTGTGGTTTGTTTGACAGATGCTGAGAGCCTTAAGCGGTCCGCTGAAACGGTTCCAATGCTTCTTCAGCAGCTACCATCGCCATCGCAGGACATGTTAGCTACAACCGCATCTCTTAAGACGCGAGCTCAATAGTCCATGACATACTAACAGGAATATATCATGGTTCCAACTTCATTTGCTTTGCTGGTCTACTGTTCAGTCTTTCCACCACTCTGTTGTAAAAGCGCTTCCCGTCGCTGTCTCATTCTCATCTCTTCTGCTTCTAACCATTCTACTTCCCTCCGTCTCTGAGCTTCCACGTGTGGAGAAACCTGCGGTGCCTGTGTGGCAGTACGATTCGTTTGCGGCACTTGGGTCACTTCGGACTCTCCTCCATCAACCACATCAAGGCCATTCGTTGACCCGTGTTCCTCTATCCCAGCAAATGGTAGTTCGCCCGGTCGGTCGTCAGCCTTGAGCTCATGCGCTCCGCCTATCGCGTGTTTGTACGAGTGTGAGCGATCGAGTTCTTGAGCGAGGCCGTTGCCAGACATCTCCTGGTACTCGGTCTGGTATGCGCCCGTTGTTGGGGCGGCTTGACCTGCGTCAAGAATTATCTTATCGCCATCGCCTTCTCGTCTGGCCAGTTGGTCATCTGTGAAAATGGTCATGGTGTGTTGCGTCCTCCGCTTCTTGCGGCGCCAGAAATACCAGCCGCCTATTGTGATGGCAAGGACAAGGATGGCGGCGATTGCTATACCTGCTATCGTGCCACTGCTTATGCTTGGGCTGGCAGGACTGATCGAGGGCCCACTTGGTAGCGCTGACGAGTCAGGTCCGATGTTTTGCGAGGCTGAACTTTGCAATGTCGACTCCGTGGTCGGACTCGTCGAAATTGTGGTACTCGAAGTGCTAATGGCATAGGGAGGCCAGGGGCTATCCGTCGGATATCCAAGAGGCCGTACACTGGGCAGGGGAGGTCGGCCTCCTGAGGTGGGGTTGACGCTAGTTGCTTGAGAAGACGGTGCTGCTGGAGGTGCTTGAGAAGATGGTGGAGGTGCTTCAGAAGATGGTGCTGCTGTTGCAATTACGATATTTGAAGACATTTTGAGATTTAGACACAGTCGTCAGAGCCGCGATGCCTAGATATCGGAACAGGAATGATTCGCAGCAAGACACGCGGGTTTGAGACGAGAGCTAAAGAATCGCAACATAACATGGTTGGCAAGCGAGCGGCCCACGCAAGCGAGCGGCCCACCCTACTAACTTTCTGCGCCTGTTTAAGCGCACACTACAGCCACGTTAAGAGATAATATATACAAATTTTTATAGTAGATTAA